TTTAATGTCTTTTCCCAACCCTATACTGCAAGTCCCATGAAGGTATGATTGCGTCTTATCTACTGCTGCTTCCTTGGTGCCAAATATAGGGCAGGAAATAAGCAATCAAAAGGAATAGATTTTTACAATGGGCTCTTGCACAAGGTAATGAGAATTAGTCTATCTCACGCAAAATCATGACTCTATCAACAACACATACTATAACACAAGTCATCTTGAGAGCCTAACAAATGAAGTAGCTGATGAAGCAAGATTTTTCACAATCTTTTCATTCCCAAATACTTTAAATCTTCAACTAGACTTCTAGGCTAGAGACATGTAGTTAGGTTCCTTGAAAACATTTATGGAATTCATTGTGGCAGTTAAGTTTCCTGGATAAAAATACACTGAGGACCTCAACCAAAGCCAAGCAACCTTCAAATGAATGAGTCATTATAAGAAATTGTGATCAAAAAGCCACCCAAGAAGAAGTAATAAGAAATTCAACCAGTGTTCTCTTGAATATAGTTCAACCAATTCATTCTAGTTCAGATAAAACACATGCTTGATGGATGGGATAAAGACATGCAAAAAATAGTAAGATTTCAGGAGAGAGCTGTTAAATGAGGATTTCCCAAGATGATTATGACTTTGAAAGTTTTAGTATAAAGAAATTCCTGATTAAGGTGGTTGTTTCAAAAATCTTTGGAAGCTAAGATTCATCCAAAATAGAATATAGCCACTTGAAATTTGGCAGAGGTTTGTAAGCTACGCAACATTCTGATTCTTTTATCTGAGGTCATAGCCAATTCTTAAGTAAATTTAATGCAGGATATTAAGATTTCTGTGGGTCAAAAAGCCTCATAATTTAAATATCTAACGTGAGAAACTTTTTTTTTTTAAAAAGAGGATACTTATTTTCCAGAAACTTTCAACTTGATAAATAACAGAGAAAAGCAAAAATATGAATCAAAATAAATAATTTAACCTGATATTAAGGTTAAGAAACTTAATGAAAATAACAAGCAAATTAACTTTATTATCTATCCTCTCACCTATCAACCCCAAGACTTTAAGTAAAACTTAAAGGACGGTAATCCATTATCATCTCACTTGTGCTCTCTACATTACTTTTTCAGTGGTAGGGGTGGGGAACATGTGTATGCATGTGTGCAGTGGTAGAAGGGGGGAAACTAACATTGTATGTGTCTGCTATGTCGTGAGCCTACAAACGGTACACGTTTTTATTAGATTCAGTCCTCACAACTCACAGCAGTGAAATGACTGCCCAGAGGTTAGCCAGCTAGCAAGTGGTAGAGGCAAGCTTTGATTCCAGGAACAGACACCTAGAGTCCTTTCCACAACATCACACTGCATATGTTTTCCTGGTTCTGTCAAAAATATTAATTGTTCATTTGGCATAATGTTTCTAGTTCTTTTCTACTATTTCATCCAAATGAATTTTCCTTCTCATTTTTCATGACACATTTTGTTAGCCTTCACACCTTGCCCTATTGCTTATAAACTAAAGAAAGGCAGGTTCCTCCATACAAAACAGCTCTCTCCTCTATCACTTTCTAAATGAAACTTTCAATAAGACATATCGTGTTTATCTAAAATCCACCATAGCTGAGTAGAAATCGCTTGCTTTCCCCTATAATTCCCAGTGCCCAGCACTCTCACAATTAGGAGGTTCTTGATAATGTCCTCATTTCATACAATATGAAGTAAAAGCCAATTTAAACTTTTAAATGGTAACTTAATTCAATGCTGAATATCAAAATATCAACTTTTAAAAATTTAAATGATTGTTTTGATATATTCTTATACTAACAACACTTCTTAAACTTTCTCATCATGGTACCCCTACATAGCAGGGGGAAATGAACACATCCCACAGCAGCTAAAACATATGAGAGATTTCATGCAGGTCTTGCATTTTATCTTAGAGATTCAGGTAAATTTTGGATTCTATTCTATTTAATAATCTTTTGTTTTTAAACTTTTTAAGTTTGGGGTACATGTGCGGGTTTGTTACACAAGTAAGCTTGGGTCATGGAGCCTTGTTTTACAGATTATTTTATCATCCAGGTATTAAGCCTGGTATCCATTATTTATTTTTCCTGATCCTCTCCCACCTCCCACCCTCCAAAAATCCCCAGTATGTGTTGTTCCCCTCATGTGTTTTCATAATTTAGCTCCCACTTATAAGTCAGAACATGTACCTGCAGTATTTGGTTTTCTGTTCCTGCATTAATTAGTCTGCTAAAGACAAGGGCTTCCAGCTCCATCCATGTCCCTGTAAAGAACATCTCGTTCTTTTTCATAGCTGAATAGTATTCCATGATGTGTATGTACAAAACTTTCTTTATCCAGTCTATCACTGATGGGCATTTAAAGTGATTCTAAGTCTCTGCTATTAAATAGTGGTGCAATGAACATACACGTGCATGTGTCTTTATGACAGAATAATTGATATTCCTTTGGGTATATATCCAGTCATGGGGTTGCTGGGTTGAATGGTATTTCTGTCTTTAGGTCTTTGAGGAATTACCACATTGTCTTCCACAATGGCTGAATTGACTGACACTCCCACAAACACTGTATACTGTTCCTTTTTCCCCACAACCTCACCAGCACCTGAATAACCTTGTTTTTCATTTTCCCCCTTTACACCACATTTTCCTCCTAAACATTAGCAATTTAGAAATACACCATGTTTATTTCACGCTGTCTCAGCACTCCTCAGGTACTCCTGGGGATGTGAGATCTTATTCTTTGAAAATAATGGTAGTATGGTCTTTAACACAGCACTATGAAGCAGTAAACTGTGAATAATAACGTTTTAAATTGATATAAAACATTTCAATAATTTATAAATTTTAAAAATGTTATTATAGGCTGGGTGCAGTAGCTCACACCTGTAATTCCACCACTTTGGGAGGCTGAGCCAAGTGATCACCTGAGGTCAGGAGTTCGAGACCAGCCTGGCCAACATGGAGAAACTCCCACCTCTACTAAAAATACAAAATTAGCCAGGCATGGTGGCGCATGCCTATAATCCCAGCTACTCGGGAGGCTGGGACAGGAGAATCACTTGAACCCGGGAGGCGGAAGTTGCGCTGAGCTGAGATCGCACCACTGCACTCCAGCCTGGGCGATAAGAGAGAAACTCTGTCTCAAAAAAAAAAGTTATACAGTTTGTGTTCCAACCTTATAAAAATAAAAAAAATCAGTATTTCAGCAGTATTTCCTCTACTAAGGAAAGGGAAGTAACATTCATGTACTTTTATTTTTGGAACTTTGAAACTGATCTCACCTTATTTGTCAAATTTATATATATGCTATTAACTGTTCAGTCTTTCTGCTCTATTCCAATTTCAGAAAACAGCTACTGAAAAAAAGCATTTTATTTTTGTTATTAGAAATTACAAACTGTAGGAGCCACTGCATAAGGTGAAAATTACCTTGTTTATCTATAACAGAGTATGAGGCCAAAAATCCGCGTCCAGAAACATGGATTCCACTCATGAACAGCAATGTGATTTCATTGCCTTTTGATTCAATTGAATGGTTCATTTGCAACCCCAGACCACAGTATTTGCCTAGGAATGAAAGAAAAGCAGATTATTTGCTGTGACTCTCTTTAAGTCAATAATATTTGCAATGTAGATAACAGAATCAGAATAATATACTAAGCTGGCTATTAAATTAGTATAAAACAAGGACTAAAATGTTTAATGATTATAAATCATATTACTCTGGAGGAAAAAAATGACAAGTAATATCTATTCAAATGATTCAAAAGGAAAAGCAGTACATGCATCACTGAACTTACAGAGATTAATTTCCTGTGAAAGACATATATACTCTTTAAAAACAATAATAAGGGACTAAAAAAAATTAACAAAATATTTCATCCAGGCAGGTGGTTCACAAATGAACTGATGGTTAATTAGTAGTATTCTTAACATGCTTCCCTCAAACCCCCTTAGATTCTGACCTCAGGTCACACCTCAAGCCTTTTTTTGGACCTACTCAATTTTACTCCTGAGGGTTGTTGGATTTCTAGTTAATCTCTTTAGGTGATCACATTTCATCCCATGGCTTTAACTATGATCTGACAACGCACAAGCTTAACCGTCCATCCACAGCTTTTTCCTTAAATGTCAGATGCATATATATAACTGTGTGCCTAACTTCCATCCTTTAATGTCTATCACAAGGGTGTCCAATCTTTTGGCTTCCCTGGGCCACACTGGAAAAAGAATTGTCTTGGACCACAAATAAAATACATTAATACTAACGACAGCTGCTGGGCACAATCAATCAATCAATCAACCAATAAACAAACACAAAAAATAAATCACAAAAAAATCTCATAATGTTTTAAGAAAGTTTACGAATTTCTGTTGGGCCACATTCAAAGCTGTCCTGGGCCACATGTGGCCTGCAGGCCACAGGTTGGACAGGCTATAAAAAATAACATATCCTCAGTATAGATCTAAGATATTAAGATAAAAAGGAAGAAGAAGGAGAGACATTAAAGCAAGACATACACTAATAAATAATAAAAACTGATTTTCTTATGTGCTTGGTAACTTGTGTAAGAAATTCTGAATAAGGACTTTCAAAAATGTTTTAAACTATGGCAACATCACTTGAATAAGAGTCATGTGGACTTCCAAGAATCATTTTCAAGGATGATACTTGATCTTATGAGTAGAGAATTCTAAGGAATTGACAAACAAAACAAAACAAAACCTCACTAGAACTAGTAAGGAAACTTAGCTAAGTCACAGGATCCATATACAAATATCAACTGCATTTCCATATATGCTAGTGCAATCTGAAATGAAATTTTTAAAACTCCATCCACAATAGCATCACAAAAGTCAAAAAACTTAGGAATAAAATTGCTGTAAAAAGTTCAAAATCAGCATACCTCAAAACAGTAAGAGCTATATATGACAAACCCACAGCCAATATCATACTGAATGGGCAAAAACTGGACGCATTCCCTTTGAAAACTGGCACAAGACAAGGATGCCCTCTCTCACCACTCCTATTAACATAGTATTGGAAGTTCTGGCCATGGCAATCAGGCAAGAGAAAGAAATAAAGGGTATTCAAACAAGAAGAGAGGAAGTAAAATTGTCTCTGTTTGCAGACGACATGACTGTATATTTAGAAAATCCCACTATCTCAGCCCAAAATCTCCTTAAGCTGATAGACAACTTCAGCAAAGTCTCAGGATACAAAATCAATGTGAAAAAACCACAAGCATTCCTATACACCAATAACAGACAGAGAGCCAAATCATGAGTGAACTCCCATTCACAATTGCTGCAAAGAGAATAAAATACCTAGGAATACAACCTAAAGGGACATGAAGGACCTCTTCAAGGACAAACCTCTGCTCAAGGAAATAAGAGAGGATATAAACAAATGGAAAAACATTCCATGCTCATGGATAGAAAGAATCAATATTGTGAAAATGGCCATAATGCCCAAATATATAGATTCAATGCTATCCACATCAAGCTACCATTGACCTTCTTCACAGAATTAGAAAAAACTTTGAATTTCATATGGAACCAAAAAAGAGTCCACATAGCCAATACAATCCTAAGCAAAAAGAACAAAGCTGGAGGCATGACGCTACCTGACTTCAAACTATACCACAAGGTTACAGTAATCAAAACAGCATGGTACTGGTACCAAAACGGGTATGTGGAACAGAACAGAGGCCTCAGAAATAACACCACATATCTACAACCATTTGATCTTTGACAAACCTGACAAAAGCAATGGGGAAAGGGTTCCCTATTTAATAAATGCTGTTGGGAAAACTGGCTAGCTAGCCATATGCAGAAAACTGAAACTGGGCCCGTTCCTTACACCTTATACAAAAATTAACTCAAGATGAATCAAAGACTTAATGTATAACACCTAACACCATAAAAACCCTAGAAGAAAACCTAGGCAATACCATTCAGAACATAGGCATGGGCAAAGACTTCATGACTAAACACCAAAAGCAATGGCAACAAAAGCCAAAACTGACAAATGGAATCTAATTCAACAAAAAGGCTGCACCAATTTATTCCCCTCTCCCCAGCAATATTGGAGATAAAGAAACTGGTAACTTGTTGTTTTCTTGATTAACTTTTCCAACCTGTGTTTACTTGTAAAATTTCCTGTAGTATGTGATCTTTTAAAGCTTCTAGGATATTCCTTTCCTTCCTTTCCTACTTCCCTCCTTCTCTCTTTCTTTCTCTCTCTCTCTTTCAAACGGAGTCTCGCTCTGTCACCCAGGCTGGAGTACAGTGGCGTGATCTTGGCTCACTGCAACCTCTGCCTCCCGGGTTCAAGTAATTCTCCTGTTTCAGCCTCCCAAGTAGCTGGGATTACAGAAGCACACCACCACACCTGGCTAATTTTTGTATTTTTATTAGAGACATGGTCTCACCATATTGGCCAGGCTGGTCTTGAACTTCTGACCTGTGGTGATCCACCTACCTCAGCCTCCCAAAGTGATGGGATTACAGGCATGAGTCACTGCACCCGGCCTTCTAGGGTATTTCTTACCAGGATTCCCTGTCAGTTTTATTTTTAACTTCTTTTATGTTACATATATGGCAAAAGGAAGATTTTTCTGGGTAAGCCTGAACTAATCAGGTAGGCCCATTAAAAGCACATTGTTTTCTCAGGTTGCAGAATTGGAAATAAGAGAGACACATGCCAGGTGTCCTGGAAGAAAGCAAACATCTATGTAGCAACTTGCCTATCAGGGTCATTGCAAGTGGCCTCTACAAACTTACAGCAGTCCCTGGTCAACAGTAACCAGGAAAATGGGGACCTCGGTTTTACAATTGCAATGAACTGAATTCTCCCAACAACTAGTACACTTGGAAAAGAACTGTGAGCCCCAGGTGAGAAACATATTCCCAGCTAACACCTTAACTTCAGCCTGGTAGGAACCTGAGCAGAGAATTCAGTCATGCCATGCAATGCCCAGACTTCAGATCCATGGAAACTGGGATGATAAAACTGTGCTCGTTTAAGCTGCTAAGCTTGTGATAATTTGTTATGAAGCAAAATAAAATGGAACACAACCAGGAATTTAGTGTACAGTCCAAGAATATCATGCTTTTGGATAATTGAATCTGATAGAGGTATGGAGGAGAAGTTAGAATTGATGGCTCAGGACCCGAATCAGCCCACAGGCCTCTTGGTCTGTACAGTTCTGGGCTATACTCTCCTTCAAAAATGTTTAAATTAGATGTTAAAGTTTTCAAAATCTGGAAACTTTACATACATTCTGAATTTCCAACTTCTCTTGAAAAATCACAAGGAAAAAAGGAAATCTAGGCCAGTTTTCTAAGTGATTGTCCTTAAGTAGCAGCTATCCCCTTTGAAAAAGAAAGTCACACTCCAGTTTGCCACAGCCCTACCACTCCACAATGCCCCCAGTCCTGAAGCTCAGCTATCATTTATCATCATAGCTATGCTGTTATTCTTCATATGCCTAGGCCATTTCACTTCTTTATTTCATCTGTCTAGACCCTGTTGGCAGTGAGTTTGTAGCCACTTGTATAGAGTGTAGAGACCTCATGGTCACCATGCCTCTTCTGATGTCCACATTAACCACAGTAGATGAACAGCAATAAATTAAGCTCTAGAAGATGTTAAATGGAAACATTCTGTATTCAAAAGACAGGTGAGATAGTGCATCTGACTCTGATAAACCAGAAGTATAGTTAATACTGTTACTATAAAATCTTCTGCAGAAATCTTATTTATGTTCTCAATTAAATGGAAGCTCATTCAACTTGCTCAGGTGTGCCATGGAACAATGCTTTCCTTAAGAATCTGCAACTCAGAAGGATGGACCAGAGGGCAGAGAGTTACTTGCTAGAACAAAAGCACATCAGCTCTGTCCACTTTCAGTAGGGGGAAATGAAGCTTGCTTAAAGAGCATAGATTCTAATTTACAAACTTCTTTACAGGTTTTTTTTTTTTTTTAAACTAGTATAGGAGCATCTCCGGTCTCAAAAAACAAAATTTGGAATTCTCAAAGGAACTCATTTATTGAAACCCTGAATATCCAGGCACTAAGCCAGGTAGACTGGGGATTCGGTGATGGAATGAGAGGCAGTAATGCTCTCAGAAAGCTTAGTGTAGTGGGACAAATCAAATGTACAGTTGAATCCTCTAAGGTACAGAAGAGGCCATTATAGTGCCTGGACAATGTTTACCATAGATGCTATCATTAAATAACTCCCGTCAGTAAAGTTTCTTTAAAAAGTCTGGCTTTGAGGACCATTGTCTTATGCTTGGTGGGCCAGAGTGAGGTGGAGATGTACAAATTAACTCCCTGACTTGGAGTTGTTGAGTGTCCTCTTTTTGAATGTCTAAAATGCCTTCCCATAATCATTTCTCTTATACTGTGAATAAGCTGTTCTTTTTGGCTGGATTTAGCCTTAGTTTTAGCTGCTTCAGCAAAGACTGGCCTGCAGAAGATAATGATAGGAAGGTATAGCTCTAATTTCTTTTTAAACAATTAGACTATTGGGTATATATTTAAAATGGGACATAACAG